TTCATATTTTCTTTTATTTGCTTATCTCGGGTTTGGAAACTTTTGCAAAGAAACAATTATTATTTATATGAGAAGAAAAATGAGGCATTAAAATAAAGAATAAAGCTCAATGGCAATAAGCACCTTACAGAACACTGAGATTCAACCCAGAGTAAAATAATAGGGTCTCGGTTCTCCTGGAGTTCAGCCTGTCATTCAGGAACCTGTTGCTTTATCCTGTATCCTCCAGGATACAGGATCCTCCTATACTATGTTCCATTTGTGTCAACCCTGAATCTATTTTTCAAAGCTCTCCTTCTTTTTCTTCACGTGAAATGTAACCTCTACACCCGAGACATGTATCACAAATAATTTGCATGTACTCTTTTTTTTTTAAGATTTTTTTATTTATCTATTTCACAGAAAGAGAGATAGTGAGAGCAGGATCACAAGCAGGGGGAGTGGGAGAGGGAGAAGCAGGCTTCCCGCGGAGCAGGGAGCCCGATGCGGGGCTCGATCCCAGGACCCTGGGATCATGACCTGAGCCGAAGGCAGACGCTTAACGACTGAGCCACCCAGGCGCCCCAATTTGCATGTACTCTTAATATTTCCTTTTCAAAATCAACACGCGGTACTTTACACTTACACAACCTTACATGTCCTTTATATCTCAATAAAACTGGGAAGAAATAGAAAGTCATTTCCTATAGTCCATTATGATGTAATTTTTTTCCAGAATGTTTTTTATTTAAATTCAATTAATTAACATATAGTGCATTAGTTTCAGAGGTAGAATTTAGTAGTTAGAATTTCATCAGTTGCATACAACACCCAGTGCTCATCACATCACGTGCCCTCCTTAATGCCCATCACCCGGTTACCCCATCCCCCACCCCCGCCCCGCCAGCAACCCTGTTTCCTATGATTAAACCTCTTATGTTTTGTCTCCCTCTCTGATTTCATCTTGCTTTATTTTTCCCTCCCTTCCGCTATGATCCTCTGTCTTGTTTCTTAAATTCTACATAATTTAAGTGAAATCATATGATAATTATCTTTCTCTGATAGACTTATTTTCTTTAGCATAAGACTCTCTAGTTCTATCCACATCATTGCAAATGGCAAGATTTCGGGTTTTTTGATGGCTGAATAATATTCCATTGTATACATGAACCACATCTTTATCCATTCGTCTGTTGAAGGGCATCTTGGCTCCTTACACAGTTTGGCTATTGCAGACATTGCTGCTATGAACTTTGGGGTGCATATGGCCCTTCTTTTCACTACATCTGTGTCTTTGGGGTAAATACCCAGGAGTGCAATTGCTGGGTCATAGGGTAGCTCTATTTTTAATGTCTTGAGGAACATCCATACCGTTTTCCAGAGCGACTGCACCAACTTGCATTCCCACCAACAGTGTAGGAGGGTTCCTCTTTCTCTGCATCCTCGCCAACATCTGTCATTTCCTGACTTGTTAATTTTAGCCATTCTGACCGGTGCGAGGTGGTATCTCATTGTGGGTTTGATTTGTATTTCCCTGATGCCCAGTGATGTTGAGCACTTTTTCATGAGTCTGTTGGCCATTTGTATGTCTTCTTTGGAGAGATATCTGTTCATTATGATGTAATTTTTGTTTTGGATGACCTCCACGGGATGAGAGATTTTTGTTTGGATGATAAAAATCCAGGGGTGGGGGGAAGAAACACGAAAAAGAGACCAGATTGACTTTAAAATTTAAACTTAATCACTGAAAGATTAAGTGGGTAAATCAAGTATATATGATTAGATCACAGTGCCAGCCATTAACTTCTTAGGTTGTCCTTCATTACACTGCGGTGATGTGCCGGATACTCTGTGATTTAATGTCAGCAACAAAGGCGAGGGTGTTGGCTTTCCAGAGCAGCCGTCTCAATAAGGAACATGAAGAACAACACAGCTCTGCAGAGCCCGATTCTAGGAAGGTTCACAACTGTGCAGGCAGCACAAGGTGGAGGAATGACTGTCATGGGACCAGAGGAAAGGTTCTGCTAGGAAGGAACAATCAGGCGGCCATGCCTTCATTGGAGTTTCGCCAGATCGAACATGCTTAAATATTTCCAGGCAGAAGGAAGGGTGGGTCATTATGTACCTGTGAATTTAAACTGCAGTGATTTTAAATAGTCTTGTGAAGAGCGGATAGTCAAGACGTCCCGAGGCACCAGGAGACATAAACGTCTGCTAAACGGAGCAGTCCTGGTATCAGATGAGTCCTGGACCTCTGGAGGGTGTTTCAGAAAGTAGGATGGAGGCGGGAAGCCTCCGTCAGAACAGGAGAGCACAAGGGGGCCACCTGGGGGACGGGTGTGAGCTGACCCGAGTCAGGTTTTATAATTACTTCATTTATCAGAGGTGGTTAGAAGTGCAAGAGCTGTGACTCACAAAGCAAATCTTGCCCGGGCTTTTCATATATGGAGAATCAAGGACAAAATAAGTAGGAAAATATCTAACAAAAACCAAACCTCAACTTACACTGGGAAAATATATGTATTTTATATTTGTATTTCTGAGCTGTCGTTATGACTCTTTCATCTTCATGAATTCCAAAAATATTTTAAAGATTTTATTTATTTGTGAGAGACAGAAAGCACAAGCGGGGGGAGGGACAGAGGGAGAAGCAGGCTCCCCACTGAGCAGGGAGTCCGATGTGGGACTCAATCCCAGTACCTGGAGATCATGACCTGAACTGAAGGCAGACGATTAACTGACTGAACCACCCAGGCACCCCTCAAAAATATTTTAAATGATTTTTTACACGCTTGCATTCTTTACTTTAAATGTGCAGCAAAGTCAGATGACAATAAGGGATTTTTTTTTCTAGTCATTCATTAGCTGTAATACCAGGCGGAGGACTCGATCTCATACAAGGGGATAATGTACAGCCGAATTCCATTTCACCCTAATTTGGACCATAGTAGAACGTGATTACTTAGCAAATATATTATTCCTCAATCAGCTTGGACCTGCATTACCTCAGGACCAGAAGTTTCGGTAAAGGGGAAGGTAAGAGAGCCATTGCTAATGTTGAAATAAGAGAATGATTTCTAAAGGAGAAGCCTCACCAGGGGCCGTGTGGGGCCCCTGTGGTGGACACTCCCATTCATAGCCCAGAATCCAAATCCTGAAGACATTCTGACTTCTCCATGGGGGAAATAAATTCTTTACAAATGCCACGATCCCACTCGTGGCTGGTTCCCATGTCCACCTCCCAGTGGCGTCCCGAGGTGAACCCAGGGTACAGAGTGCAAAACTGAGCTCTTCAGCATGCTTTTTCGGAATCTGGTTGATACGCCCACATGGCACACTCCTCGGGTCACCCGAAATGATGAGGGGAGTGTTGTCTGTGCCCCATGCAGGCTCCTCTCCACTGTGGGGAGAACAGAAGTACTTTCACAAATGGGCAGACCCCGTGGCCCACATGGCCCCTTTTCACTTAACCTGGTTTATTCTGTCTTTCTCCACTTGATAAAACTTTCCCACAGAAATCTTTCCCGACTCTGGAACTAGGACTGAGTTAATGGCTCACGTTAACACGGACCCTGCTTCACGATAGTTAACTACTTAGTAAATGTTTTAGAACAAAGGAAGGAAGCAACACCAGGTACACGAGATAGAATCACTTTTGAGCTGTTGGGACTTTGGGGTTCCCTTGGCGCTGCCCAATCCCCACTTCCCAAACCAACCACTCGACCACAAACTAGAATTACAGAGATTTCTTTTTTTCCCTACAAGTCTAAGAAAAAAAAAAAACACCATTATGTCAAGTATCTTGTGAGAAAATGAAGAGCAGACACAGAGGACTTGCCCCTGTCTACACGGGACGCCCTTCAGGCTCGGGCCCAGGAGGGACAACCGTGATGAGGCTCGGGTTTAGAACTCGGGGAGGTGGGAAAGCACGGTGGGAACTGTCGGCCGGCCCCGCGCCTCTGCTTGGGATGACATGGGGTAAGGATCTCCAGCAAGTGCCAACAAGGGATTGCCGTGGGAATGATGAAATGAACGATATTGAACATAATCACTTAGGCACTGTCTAAAGCCCTGCCACCTCCCGCCGTCCCCAATTTTTCATCCTGCCCCTTCATCCGAGATCCCCAATGAGTCCTCTGATGCCACGAGGAACAGGTTTTGCCCACGTTTGAAAAGAAATGTCTCCCAGTGTCTTATCTCCTCTCATCTATGTTGTGATGGAAGGAAAACACGAATACTGTGAAACATCTTTAATCTTTGATTCTGTAACTAACATAAATTGGGACCTCCAGTGGCTGACTTGTCATTAGGGATCAGTTTTGGGCTTTGCTTTCCGAACTTGTAAGGAAGGGTCCTCACGTTTGCGGAGAAACACTTTTGAAGAAGAGACTGTGGTCTAGTAAGTGGGATTTTAGGAGACACTTCTCAGTAGGCTTAACCCATTTTCTGGCTCAAAATGGGGGGGTTTCACTGACATGATCAAAACTATTTAAAACTGGCCTCGTTTGTGTACAAAGATTAGTAACGATGACACATTTTTTAAAAAATTGTAACCCTGCTTCCAATTCTTATCACTAGCAGAGGGAATATTCCACATCTAATCTAGAATGATTTTATGGCGACATTGTGAAAAATAACACCTTCGAGATACAAGTACTTCTCTAACGTGCGAGAAAAGTCCCACTGATGGGCAGGGCAGCAGGAAATCCGATTCTGACTGGATTAGGGAGGCTGCGGGCGGGGAAGCATCCCTAATAAAATCCCCTCCTGGGGGATCTCGCTCAGAACTGCTGGGGAAGACCTGGGGCCAGAGCAGGGCTGAGGTGAGTTCCACCTCCCACGTCTCCTTTGTATTTCTCAAATGTCTACAAAGACCTGCAAAGACGGAGAACAAACGGGTGGTTGCCAGAGCGGGGGTGAGGGATGGGCAAAACAGGTGCAGGGGGCGGGAGGTGCGGGCCTCCAGTGACGGAGGGAGACCCGGGGAGGAAAGGCACAGCCCGGGGAACACAGTCGGGCGGATGGGTGGGGTCCTTGTGCCAACCAGCATTTTGAGTATCAGAAGCCGCGAGTCCTGTCTGCACGCAGTGCCTTCGGGACCCCGCGCCCAGGTGAAAGCGGCCCGAGGCCTGATCCCCATCCGGCGCTCGCCAAGTCCCCTCTGCGCATCTTCCCCTCACAGTGGCCACGGCCGGACACTTTAAAGAAAGAAGCAGATGTCCGGTGTGTCTGAATCACCTGGACATGCCCGTTACCTGCAGTGTGGCTTCGTCGGCTGCCTCCACTGCACGGATTCCTGCAGAAGGAGCCCCAAGGGGAGGGTCTCTTGTGCCCCTCCCGCTCCGTGGTCTCTCAGAAGAAGGACCTCAGGCCCGGTACCCATCTTGGGAGGCTGGCTTCGAGGATCAAGGCGCTGGAGCCCCAGCTGACAGCCGTTCTGCAGATGAACCCCGAAGATGCGCAAGTTCCACGGTACGGCCTGCCCCCGACCCCTAAAGAGCCCTGGAAAACGTAACTTGCCTACAACTCTCCACACACAAGGGCATGAGCTGAAATGTTTATCTTTGCAAGCCACAGCTGTTCTTACCTAGAAGTATAGATTAGAACCATCTGTAAGAAAATAAGCTTCCGGCCCGGACCTGCACCTGAGAGAAATCATGCCTGACTCTCTCACAACTCCGAGTTAGGGTGAGTTCTCCCAGTTCCCCAGCACTTCTCACCGGCTCAAGCCAGGATGCCAGGCGGGACCTCCCAGGCTGCCTGGAGCGGGGTCGAGTCCTTGCTCCTTCTGGCTCTGTCCCGGCTCTCCTAGGATGGGTCCTGAGGAGCGGTGTGGCCCTTGGTGTGAATGGGGTTGAGCAGTGTGCTGTGGTGGGCCCTGTGGTCCCCAGTGTCTTTGTGAAGGACAGGGGTGGCTTTGTGTTCTGAGTGTAGCTCCATGCACCTCGAATTTGGGATGGCGAGCCCTGTCCCAGAAACATGACAAGTCTGGTCAAGTCCCCTGTGATGGTGAGACAGTCTGAGCATCTTCCAAACAGCTGTATGTCAGGGCGCCAAGTGAAACAGCTGGTCTTTGGTCCAGAGGGTTTGTTTCCGGGCTGTGTTGGCTCCGTCCGCATGGTCCCCTTAGGAAGCCTCCTGATCAGGGGCCGCAGATGTAGGCAGCACGCATGGTCCCCATGGCATGGAATCTCCCCACCCCTCTGAGCCATGCCTTGCGACTAAGTTGCTGCCAGACCCCAGCACATCCCCACTCCTGTCCACGGAGCCCCTTCCTCTGCCTGGACTGTCACCCAGCTCCTCTCAGGACCCCCAGCCTTACTTCTTTGTGTGTTTGCAACCCCAGGAATCAAAGGTCTGGGATGCGTTTGCCTGTTAACGGCAGTAAAAGAAGGTAATTGGCAAGAAGACGTGAAAAACTTCCATATTTAATGTTCTAAGATTAAGTTGCCATCATTCACATATTCATTTGGTGACGGTACGTCAATGGAATATGTGGTTTGCATAATAATTTTGAGAACAAACAACAGTCATGGTCTCTTCGTGTATGATCTGTGCCAAAGGAAGAAGCATCTTTAATCAAATAGTTAGAGAACTTAATGTGAAGAAAACACCTAGTAGGGGTCAGAGGGACTAGTTCTGATTATAATCATTCTCTCTCTACATTCGACCACATCAGGGGCCAGGGCAATTCTGATCAGGGAGGAAGCACAGGGTGAAGACGTGAAGGTGGGCGAGACACCGGGGCCTTTGCAGCAGATGTGCAGAGTGCCATCGAGCACGTGTGTTTGCTGATTGGCTTGTTTTCCCTCCACAGTGGAGGTGACCCTGGATGTTGACACCACCAACCACTACCTCGTCGTTTCTGAGGACCCGAGGAGTGTCCGCTGTGGGTATTCCAAACAGAACCGGAGAGTCCGAGCCGAAAGATTCAACTATGCCCCGTGTGCCCTAGGCTCCCCTTGGTTCCCCTCTGGCCGCCACTACTGGGAGGTGGACGTGGGGACGAGCAAGGAATGGGATGTGGGTGTGTGCAGAGACTCTGCTAATCGACGGGGGCCAATTCTACTGTCCGCAGAACTTGGCTTCTGGACGGTGGGCTTGAGAAAAGGAGAGCTCTTCCAAGCCAGCACCATGCCTGTGACTGTTCTCTAGGGGAGCCCCCGGTTGCACGGACTAGGGATTTTCCTGTACATGAATTTCGGCACCGTTTCCTTTTATCACATTAGCGATGGATCCCGTATTTTCACCTTCACTGAAATTCCTGCTGTGGAGACACTGCGTCCGTTTTTTGCTCTTTTGGATCCCATCACGGACGGTCAAGGCTTCCTGAGAATCTGTCCTGTGATGAGTCCAGCTCCAGTGGGCTCTGATACAGAACAAAGTTTCTGGAGAATCCCCGTGTGCTCAGAGCCGCAGCTGGGACCTTTCCTGCTTGTTACGTGGACGGCGCGGCAGGCAGCAGAAAAGCATGGAACACTAATTACACAAGGGAGCAGTGCCTTTCAAACGTAAGTATCGCCACAGTCATTCTCTTTGGGACTTTTCATATTTCTGTTCCAGTGAATGGGTTCTGGATTTTCAGATCAATTTCCAAACGTATTTATTTTCCGCAGTATTAACTTCGTGTGTGATGGAGATTATAAGCTAAATAAAAACGTGGATGTGACCGAACAGATTGATTTTCTAGGTACTATGTAAGCAAAACCTACGGAAACAGTAAGTATGTGTGTATATGTATTCAGTTTCCCTCAACGGCTGAAATGCACACATTCCTTTCAGGTGCACAGCATTTGGAATATAGGAAGAAGGCAGGCAGGGCAATCAGGGGGTGGCCTCCACTGAAGGGGGATTGCAGCCTGGCACCCTCTAGCTGCCCCTGCCCCTCATCACTGTGCCATGGCCTGCAGGCCGTGGGGTAAAGGGAGTGAGCTGGTGGCTGTCAGCCCAGGGGGGGGTTCTCTAGCGGCTGGTGGGCGTGTCATTGCAGGGGGGACTGTGTGTGCCACCCTGGCAGGGGGAATGTGCATGGGACCCAGCCCTTTCCAATAAGGACCATGCTTAACTTCTGTATGTGGTCAATCTGTCCGATCATGGAGACGGTCAGTGAGAATCTTCCTAGGTACCAGGAGCACTTCTGCCACGGTGGGTCATCCCCCCTGGAGAGCAAACGCTTGCAGGTCCCCGAGCAGCAGAAGGGACTGCCTCGGTGCAGTTCTCAGAGGGGGCTCCCAGGGTGCTGCGGATGAGGAGGACCAGCCAGGAACACTGACCGTCAAGTCCCGCGGGCATTCAAGGGACTGGGAGGCAGATTATGACAGTCGTTGAGTTGTGTGCTTGAAAACGTCCATAAAATGTGCATTGTAAGGAGCAATCGTTAAATGGAGCCCTCTGAAATTACAAATATGCAAACTAAGATACATGAGTGATGAAAAGGAATCAGCCCTAAAAGCAGAATGACACCAGAGAAATAATAGGAAGCGAAGGATGGCAAAGACAGCGCCCCTGGGGAGTGTGTGGCTGTCTCGGGGCAGGGGCGTGACAGGCCTGCAGACACCAAGACAAGGAGTTGCAGGGAGCTAACTCTTCTTAGTCGGGTAGTAAATACATTCGGCTCAACGGGCCACGTGGTGTCTGCCCTATCTACTTCCCGCTGCCTTTGTAGATGGAAGCTGCCACAGACAATATGAAAACAAGGGGCCGTGTTCCAGTGAACCTTTATTTACAAGCAGCAGCAGGCGGCCGGGCCCTGGCTGGCCCACCCGCGTCGGGGCGTCATGCGCTGACTGCCGGCGGGGTCACAGCCCAGCGCAGGGTGTGTGCACCCCGAAAGCGCAGAAGGGGCATGGGGTCCAACGCGCAGGGCGGCGCGGCATGGGGCCCAAGCAGGAGGAGAGGATCTGCACGGAGAGGCAGACCGAGTTCTCGAGGGAAGGTGAGGCGGAGGCGGAGGCTGGCTGAGACAGGTGGCGACGGAACGCGCGCGAAGGACTGGAGCAGTGGGCCGCGCGAGCACACGCACCGAGGCGCTGGCGAGCAGGGGAGCGCGGGCGGGGTGCGCGCTGGGGTCCGGCGCTGGACGCACAGCGCAGGACCTCCGTCTCCAGAGCCACGCGCGTCACAGACCCCGGCGCCCCCCCAGACAAGCCCTGGGCCACCCTGTCCCCTCCGGCCCTCGGCCCCTGCAGACACACCCAGTGGAAGCCCACAGGCACCCACAGCGGCCGCCGGGGCAGCGCGGCGGAGAGCCACGAACCGGTGAGGCAGGCACAGATTAGACGGCTGCGCTCCTTCGGCGTTCAGGTCGGATGGGTCACAAGCGCAGGCGATCGGGACGAATGGGGGGCTCTACTGGGAAGTGGTGGCTAGCATATTCTGCACAGACGAACGAGTGCGGGACACAAGGCCTTCGGAGGCCAGGTGCACTCGCGCCGAAGGACGGGAAAGGAGCAGGCCCGGGAGCGAATGCCGAAAAGCCCTAAGCTGTGCAGCTGCGTGTGACGGCGCTGCTGCTGGGCTTGGCCGTGCTGCTCGCGTGTGACGAGGACGGACGCGCGGACCACCACAGCCTTCCAGGAGAGCACGATGGGGCGCCCGAGCCGGCAACGGCGCCGCGCTCCGGGGCCAGCCCAAGAGACACTCCCGGCCAGCTTCCAGCGCCCCCAGGCACGCCCTTCTCTGGATGGGGAGGCTGCCGCTCTCCCCTCCCTCCCTCCAGCCCTCCAGTCCCCGCCGGTCATCTGCAGGAGGGAGCCTGTCAGCCTGCCCCCACCCCCCCCCCGACAGCAGGGACAGGAGTCCCACCGCCCTTCTCCTGAGCTCACTCCTGCTCTGCCATCTGTCTCAGCCCCCCGTCCCCATGGCTGTTCGGGGCTCACAAGCCAGCCTCTCAAGCGGGCCACCTCCTTGGGGAGAGACGCTCAGCCCTCATCGCCGTGGGCGAGGGATCCAGCGGGGGCGGGTCAGCGGGGGAAGAACACAGGCCCAGCAAATGGGTGGCCCCGGGGGGGCCGGGCTCCAGCAGCAGCAGACTCCGGTTTCTCAGGACCACTGGCCGGAGGGGGGATGTGCGCGCGGTGGGGGTCCCGTCCGCGGGGACACAGCACGGTAGTGCTGTCAAGGGCTCCCCAGCAGCTTACCGAGCCCTGGACGACCCCTGACCCCCATCCAACAACCCCATCAGCTCTCCAGCCCTAAGTGGGCTGCACCGCCCCCCCCCCCCGCACCCACAGAGCCCCACCTGCCCCCAGAACAGAAAGGCTTCCGAGAAGAGGCAACCAGGTTGGAGCCCTGGCCCCCAGGTGAGGGGTCCTATGAATCACGGATGGGAACTTGGGGGAGCCACACCCGTGAGAATTGCCATTTATTCCCGAAGTCGCCAAAATTATCACCAAGGATTCACCAAGGGATGTGCATGGGGACGAGGAGGCTCAAACACTGACTGAGGGACCAGCTGGGAGGGAGGGGGATGGATGGGGGGACCCCCAGCTGTCCCTCCCCTAATGCCACAGGAAAGGGGTCCTCCTCTGGCCAGCACCCCTCCCCATCCCCCATGTCCAGTTTCTCTCCAGGGAGGTGGGGTGGGGGGACATGGAAGAGGGTGTAGTGTGAGTGGGCCCCAGGAGGGAGAGGGTGCTGGGGTGGGGGCGGGGGGTCCCCCGCTTCACATGCACTCACAACACTGGTCTCCCAGGGAGCAGAAATGGGGGAAGCCAGGCCAGGCCAAATCCCCCTCCCTCCTGGATTATAGGAGGAAGGGGTTAGTGTTGGGGGCCGGGGGGCCTGGGGGCATCATGGGGGGCAGGCCAGGGCCCCCACCAAGGGGAGAGATGTATGTTGGTGGTGCTCCAGGGACCGGGGGCACAGGGCTAAGCCGGAGCTGGTTCAGCGTGAGCGTCGCAGGGGGTGCGGGCTGGAAGGGGTTGGTGATGGAGGGGCCGGTGGTCGGGGCTCCTACAGGAGAGAAAGGAGAAGAGACACGCAGAGCAGAGTCAGGGGTCTGCCTGGGGAGGAGGTCAGCAGGCAGGACCGGCCTGGGAGGCCCACACTCACCGCTTGGCAGGAAGGGGTTGGAGGCCTTGGCTCCTGGCGGCGTGGGGCCCGGCCGGCTCACCAGCGAGTCCAGATCGACGAGAGCTGCATTAGGCCCCAGGAATGACTCTGGTGTCTTCCGTGTGGGCGGTGGTGGTGTTGGGGCAACTGCGGGTGGGGGGCTCCCCACGGCCTCAGCCAGAGAGCCCCCGACCCCACTCATGTCAAACACCCCAGGACTGCGGGCGGGCACCTCTCCGGCGAGCAGCTCCAGCTCCCCTAGAAGAAGCCAGAGAGGGGGTCAGGGCAAGATGGACAGTGGGGGCCTCAAACAGGGAGGCCGTGGTACTGAGAGGCAGAGCCCAGGGAGGGACACGGGTCCAAGGAAAAGCAGCGCATGGCCTCCGGGGCAGAGTGCTGGGGAGAGCCACCAAGGGACAAGAGTACTTGAGGGGTGCTCACATAGCCCCACAAAAACCCCACCGGTCCCACAGTCCCAAGCAGAAACTTCACGGTGGACAGACAATGGCAGGCACCCAGGAGCCCAGTAGCCTAGGTAACGTCTATCAGCTTGACCTGATTTCCTTAAAGAAAGAGATTCAGGAATCCTATCTTTTTTTTTTTTTTTTTTTTAAGATCTTATTTATTGGGGCGCCTGGGTGGCTCAGTCGTTAGGCATCTGCCTTCGGCTCAGGTCATGATCCCAGAGTCCTGGGATCGAGCCCCGCATCGGGCTCCCTGCTCCGCGGGAAGCCTGCTTCTCCCTCTCCCGCTCCCCCTGCCTGTGTTCCCTCTCTCGCTGTGTCTCTGTCAAATAAATAAATAAAATCTTTAAAAAAAAAAAAAAAGATCTTATTTATTTATTTGAGAGAGAGAGAGAACACGCGCACGTGGGGGGGGGGGTCAGAGGGAGAAGCAGACTCCCCGCCGAGCAGGGAGCCCGATGCGGGACTCGATCCAGGGACTCCAGGATCATGAGCTGAGCCGAAGGCAGTCGCTTAACCAACTGAGCCACCCAGGCGCCCAGGAATCCTATCTGACATCGGAGGATGCACAAATTGGTGCAGAGAGAGGAGAGGCCCAGAGGAACGCCAACTACAGATTGCACAGTAACCAAGGTGGGCCTGGGGGGACGGGAGGGGACCGCTGGTGCCCCACCAGTCCCACGTCCTCCTGCGGGCCCACGTCACTCAAAGATGAACAAGGAAAGGGAACGAAGGCACCACACTGCTGTGGGAAGAGAGGCTCCCGTGCCCTCCGGACAGCTTGCAGGGACGGGTCTCCTATCGAGGACAGAGCCAGCCTGGACTCTGGCCAGGAGGAGGGAACACAGGAGCCAGGACACCCAAAGGCGAGGTGCCCCGTGGATGGGATGCCTGCTGGGAAAGATGCACTGGGCCCCGAGGCAGCCGTGGGCAGGCCAGGAAGGGGACACTCGCCAGAGGCCCCTTGTGGTCACCACACTGCTGATAATGCAGGTACGGCCGGCCGGGCGCTCAGAAACACGCAGAGAAACGTTCCAGGGGGCAGAGAACTCAGAGATCACTATACGGGGAAGCCCCGGAAAAAGAACTGTTTGTACTATTCTTGCAACTTTTCTCTAAATACAAAATTACTCGAAACAAAGTTAAAGCTTTCTTTTCCAAGATAAACCAACAAGCTTTAATAAAACCACGGCCCATGGGGAGCTGCAATCCACCCTGCTTAACCCCTCACTCAGAAGCCCGCCTGCCAAGGAGCCTGCGGGCGGGGGGCTGGGGCACAGGCAGGGCGGGGGGGGGGCACGGCGGGGGGCACGGCGGGGGGCACGGCGGGGGGCACGGCGGGGGCGGGGCGGCTCACCCGTGCTGCTCCCGGAGGTTGGCAGGGCTGTGCGCAGTCGGTCAAAATC